AGAAATGCAAGCCACGGCTGTGACTTGTATTTAAGACTAAAACTTAACCTGGTATTCTCGCCAAAATATAAAATAGTCAGATTTGTATGAATTTTTGAACTCCCAAAGGAAGTAGATTCATCATCAGAGGTAATTACAATGCAAAACACACTAAATGCGGATCTAATTGGTCATTCATCATTGGTCAATTGATCCATTGGCCAATGGATCAAAATGAAATCCCTGAACTGATTGATTTAATATTCCTTTGCCTTCTTTCGATTCATTTTTTTCTCCATATACGCTTTTTTTATTGCTCGCATCATTATTACAATTAAAGACACTGCAGATAATTATAGCTTCTCTTTTACTCTATTCATAAAACAAACTTCATTGTTAGGTTATCAATATAAAATCTGTAGAACGCATGCCTACTACTAAACATAACCACTACTACTACTTATACGTGATTATTAAAATTAAGATAGTTGCAAACACAAACACACATTTTTCATACTAAATCGACTCACGCAACTAATTTTTAGTACTGAAATTAGCATAATGGCAAGCGGACCTTAGATATAGTACTTTTATACACAGTATAGTATTGAAATGTCAGTTTTTTGTATGTATCAATAAATAATCTTTAATAAATAGTTTGGAGATATTCTTATGTGTACGATTATTGTAATTACTAAACTTCTTAACTTATTTTCGTCTAATAAAATCATCACAGACTGCATACAAATCCCATTTAACTTTAACAAGAATTCAAATTCTACTCTCCAATGACGGCATGCGCGAACACGACCTATTTTGTGCTACGAGAAGATCCTATCTTGTTATTATAGTATCATGAGTATAGTTATGTTATCTATACTGTGATAGACACTTAAGCGTCTATATTCTTTGGTTAAAGGTTACCTTTACCTCTGTAACGTTGTAATTCTTGTTTTTATTTTGCATTTTTATTCTGTTTTTGCTCAGTTATTTTTTGTGTGCGTCGGCCTTTTAATTTTATCAAAATGGATATTAAACATTAAACTGGTTTTAAGTCTGTATCACATGATATCCCATTTCAACCAGCTACACCAAAAAAGTGGAAAGATTTAGTTGATGCAGGGCATGTACGCAATGTTTCGGAATATAATAGCTTATTTATTTGACACCATACAAATATCATGTTGTTTGTATTATAGGTTATTTACTTATTTTTCTTATTGATAGCAATAATCCATTTTTCTCTTTGAACTATTTTATGCTTGGCAACAGGAAATGAATAAAATTTACAATGACTGTTGTACCCAATATTTTTACATGTATCATTTTTTTTTCTTTTTGAAAAATCCGTTTCGTCATTATTTGAATTTTTACAAGTTAAATGCACAAAACTGCCACTAACAGCGATGGTAAAAACTGTCAAATCCCCTCTACTCATCGGCTCACAGCGAATATGATATTTCGCCCCTAACTGTGATTGTAACTGTAACTTGGTTATTATTATTCTTTTGCAATTTCAATTTGAAAATGCCAGGCCTGGCATTTCAACCTATTATCATGAAAAGTACTATATCTAAGGTCCGCTTGCCATTATGCTAATTTCAGTACTAAAAATATTAGTTAGTTGCGTGAGTCGATTTGAAAGTTTGCGTGAGTGATTCAAGTATGAAAAATGTGTGTTTGTGTTTGCAACTATCTTAATTTTAATAATCACGTATAAGTAGTAGTAGTGGTATGTTTGTAGCATTTTCAATTTCATTGATTCTTTGAAGTATATTGAAATCCCCTCGTAAATTTAATATATTAAAATCCCCTCATAAATATTTTTTAATGTGTTTCAATTTCCGATTTGCACGTATTTAAACACCGAAATATTTCGTTCTTTTCACGTCGCCAAGTCGATTTTTGTGTTGATAAATCATTTTATTGTTTGTTTTATGTCAGAGTTCTTCGATATTCCTTTGATCGCTAAACCGCCCGAAACTGCGTTTTAATTCCTGTCAAGTGTTTGTTATTTTAAGTTATGCGATCAATTTTAAAAGATAATTTCTTTACTATCGGTGAAGCCGCTGTCAAAAGCGTTTATAGTTTTATTGGAATCCGAATTTTTCTTCAAATTCGTAATGTTGTTTCGTTTTTTTGTCTTTTGTCACGGGAAAATGTGTAGTGTGGTGGAAGTTAAGAGCTCGGCGTGAAATCTTCAGAAAGCCGACAGATCCTGTTTGTGGAAAGTTATATGTGTTATATTATGTCCTCAATGGAAGATTTGTAAGGTGTTACAACGATATAAGAGGCCATCGTATTTTCAATGAAGTTTTGAAAAGCCAAGCTTAGAAGTTTGCAATTTTTTTAACCCGAAGCCCGATGATCCAGCCCAACTTCAACTTCCTTCGTCTATTTGTTTGTCCCTGGTCATTCCAGACCATTTTGAAGCTTGTAAGACGCATTTGTGTTATTTTGCAGTGTTTAGAAAACCAGTTCCAGCCCCAAAACCTTTAAAGGAGATATAATGTTTAGAGAAATCAGATACTTTTTTTGTTAATTTTTTTTAAAGTAAAAATAGAAATTTTTCATCAATAATTGCATTCATGACAAGTTGAAAAATTGTAATAATTAAAATTATAAAAATTAGGATTTGGCTAACTGTCATAATTATTCTTATACACATAACTAACCATAAGTTTTGAATTTGTTTTTTTAATGTTGACCTTAATGTAAATGCATTGAAAGATCTATATGATTTCAATTTATTAATAATGTGTCCCCACCGTCTAGAGTTGTAAACCGGTAGCAACATTGTTTTTGTTATTATTATTTGTTTTGTAACTGTTTGTGGTGACACAAAAATAAATGTTAAATTTTGTGTTCTTAACATTTTGTTTATTTTTTGAACTAACCCTTTTTTGAGTTTTATTTGAAAAAGATATGTTTTTGATGTTTTATAATTATTTCCCTAGTTACAACTAGTGGTTGTAATAGGTAGGTATAATTAGGCACCTCAAGTGGCGCCCTATATTAAATTCCTTGAGGTGTGTCCTGTTTATTTTTATTTTGTTTATCCCAAGAGATTAAGTACCCCTTTATTTCTTTTTTTAGTAGTTGCCCCAATCCAGCCCCCTTATCTTTTACTTATCCACGACCCCAGCTCTCCTACCAAACCCTGAGTGCGGTTCGCACAAGTAGCGATTATTTTGCTTGCTTATCTCCACCCCCTTAGTTTCAGTCCCCAATTTTATAGCCCATAATCTTACCCAGTGTGGTAGGCAAAATATTTTCGTTACATGTTTAGTAGTAGGCATGCGTTCTACCAATTTTATATTGATAACCTAACAATGAAGTTTGTTTTATGAATAGAGTAAAACAGAAAAAGAAGCTATAATTATGTGCAGTATCTTTAATTGTAATAATGATGCTAGCAATAAAAAAAGCATACGCTTTTAAAAAAAGCGTATATGGAGAAAAAAATGAATCGAAAGAAGATGTTAAGGCAAAGGAATATTAAATCAATCAGGTCAGGGATTTTATTTTGATCCATTGGCCAATAGATTGGCTTCCCAGTCGAAACTACTTCACAGTTCAATTGTCAGCAGGATTTTCCGTTCTCTTCTTCTAGTGGTGGTTAATTTGATCGGCATTTAGTGTGTTTTGCATTGTAATTACCTCCGATGATGAATCTACTTCCTTTGGGAGTTCAAAAATTCATACAAATCTGACTATTTTATATTTTGGCGAGAATACCAGGTTAATTTTTAGTCTTAAATACAAGTCACAGCCGTGGCTTGCATTTCTTCTGTTTGGCATTCCATCTTCTGATGTTGATTTATGACCTGTTTTATAATGTATGTGCTTCCTCCTTTGACTGTATTTTCTGGGTGGATAATTTGGTATACCTAATATTAATCAGACCATTGGCATTCCATTCTAAAATTCTTAGGTGTCTAGTCATTTTTGATTTTAGGAATCGCTTCTTGTGTGCACTTTTCTTAGTTTGTGATTTACGTATCTAGCTTTTCCAGTTTTTCTAAAAAAAGGTAAAGTGATATGTCAATGTTTGATGTTCTTCAATTCTGATTATTTTTTCAGTGTTATTTGCAGTAGTTCTACCTGCAGTTACCTGCAGTCACGAAGGATGAACCTTCGCCGCAGTGGGCGCATTTTGGAATGGCATTTTTTGTTTTATCACATTCTCTGGTGCTGTGGTTTCTAGTACATCTCACATATCGAGGTTTCTACGCTCAGGAATTTTGGGTATGCACATAGGCTTGGCATTTTTTACATTGGGGAATTAATTTATTATTCTTTAGCGAGAAAATTTCCACTCTCATTCCCATACACCTGTAATGCCAAATATTTTATTGCCGGGGATATGCCAAATATTGCCATATCTTCGTCTTGTCTAAAGGTCAGAATAAATATGTTTAATGCTTGTTTGGTTTTGTATTTTAGCTTGGGATAGCTGCTAGAATTTTGTAACCTCTATTCCTTAAGTGTTGCTCTATTTTATCATTGGAGCAAGAATGATGCAGTTTTTGTCATTACTTTAATAGTGCGATTTTGCTTATTCTCATAGCTATGCCATGAATAGTTTCTCTCTTTTAGTAAGTCAGATATGATTCTGTAAGCATCGCTATCTTTTGCATTGATTTTAATATTCTCATCATTAATTACTTTTATTTGTAAATCTTTACTGACGGCTGTAAGTTCATCGTGTAATTTGTCTTTTTTAATTCGTCGATTGTAAATCTTTACTGACGGCTGTAAGTTCATCGTGTAATTTTAGTTATAAATAAACTTCGGGAGGTATTTCAATAAAAATCCAAGATCCGACTAACCAAAACCCCAAGTAATCCTAAACAGATTCCGACTGGGCTATCAAAATCTTAAAACAAAATCGATTCTGGAATATTTTATCAGAGATGCCGTTATTTCAATCAAATTTGAATAATTTTGAACAACATCATCAAGAATAAATATTATAACATAACATTTGTGAATATATATTACTATAAATAATTTCATACCTATATTTAGATTCAATCGCTCCTTTAAAATACCAAGCAGTGTCCAAGCACATCCATCCTTATCATTGTTTTCTGTGTACCAAGTCATAGCGTCACAAGCTACAGGTATAGCATGCATTTCTTCTATAGAATAACTTAAAGTCTTCTGTGGAGCTTCCAGTAAAGTTCGACACACCCAATGTGCATAGCCAATTGCTCCTTGTTGATGATGACTGAGTTGCACACTATGCCTGAAAAAATAATACTAATAAATATTAAAATTTTGAACAAATGTTCTATATATTTATATTGGACTCAAATAGAATGTTAAATACATGCTCAAAATTTCTCATCTGAACCTGAAAATAATAATGTCTAACTAATCATATTCCGAGTAGAATGTAGAATATAAAATCGGAGTTCATTTCTACCAAGTTGAGTGTACCATAAGGTCGTCTAAACCAGATCTTATAAGTTATAAAAATAACCAAAAAATTTTATAGGACCTGGTCTGGAAATATTTCTTTCTCACATTACGTATGTGCCTATGGCACCTGTCTCAAAAGGGATACATTCTATCAATACTTCTAGACCACAGTGCAAAAAATAATTCTAGACCATCGCCAATTTAGTCGGTAATTAATGTATTGTTAAACTGTGAAAACCTAAATTGCTTGATAAAACGTATTGAAAACTATTGGGAACGGTAGGCTGATTGAAATAATGACGTCATCAATGGAGCTTATCAAATACGTTCATCTTGTTATTAATTCTGATATTGCACAAATAAATTAAAGGTATCTAACAATAAAGGTACATAATAAGCATCTATATAAAAAATAACTCCGCTGTGGTGACAAATGGGTGAATCGAGTAGCTTAGGAGTCACCACTGGCGGTCCTAAGCCCGGGTAAAGGAGGAAGGTTGGGCAGTGGGCTCACAACCCACTCCCGAAAAAAACACAGTTCGGAAACGACTCAAGCTACGAAACAGGGACTATATGTTTGGAAATTGAAATATGAGGACACTGAATAAACCAGGAGCTCAAACCGCACTTGGCTGGGAAAAGGTGTAAGGCGCTGGTTTCTCTGAACACACGTCAGCGGCGACGGACAACGGCTGCCGTCAACGTTTGAATGCTACGCTTAAAAGTGTATGCACTTGGTTTCTCAGACACGCCAGCGGTCACGGCTAGCGTCGACGGTTGGCGTTTACCCGCTGCGTGTGTCGGTTCATATGGTTTCGAAGCATTGGAGCGGGTGGACGTTATGACGGACAAAAGGAAAATGAAAAAAGAACAAGATGAAATACATACAAATAATGTAATTATTAATGTAAACATAATTTTTAATTATAACAATTATACAACGTGAGACTGCCAAGTGACCCTTCCAGAAGGCCAACACAAGTAATCTTTTAATTCGTTTAAATTAAAATTTTAATTAAAATTAAATTTAAATTAAATTATTGGGAACGCCGTTATTGGTATTGCTGTTATTATGAATGTTTTCGGTTTTGTCATCTATTAACATATTATGCAAACAGAAAGTAGCAAGTATTACATAATCAATTGTGCTTTGTTTAAGCATTATCGGCGTATAGAAAACTTGAAAAGTGTTTGATGGCATTCCAAACGCACTTTCGACCGTTCTTCGGGATCTACTCAATTAATAGTTATATTGTCGTTTTTCTGTATCCATTTCACTTTGAGTAATAGGATAAGGTTTTACAAGGCGGGGTAACAATTTGAACTTTCCGTCTCCTATCAGAAAATGTAGAAGAACGATGTTTGATCCAGGCAATCGGAAGGTCAGCAATCGGAATGCAACATTCGGAAAGGAAAATGTCCCAGTTTCAATTTGTTTTCGTAATATTGATTTAGAAAAAATACCACTATCTCCCTATTTTTCATAGGTTCCAATATCGACATACAGAAATTTACAATTTGCTTCTACTAAGACCAACAAAACAATGAAAACAATTTTTTGTAATTGTAGAATAAGGATCCACTGTTCAATGGACATTGTATACGATAATGTTTTCCGTCTAATCACCATAACAAATTGGGAAAACTCAATTTATCTTAAAAATCTTTGGCAACAACTTCCAATTTGCTTCTTGTTAATTTTGGTAAATGTAGAGGTTTCATGTGTTTACAAATCGCTTATGTGTTTTCCAATATTTTTGATATTTCCCAATGAGACATATCAAAAGAAAATGATGATATGTCAAAAAAACTATATTTAGAAACTAATCCATTATTTATTTCAAATCATAACACTATACAGATATATCTTTAGATGCGGATGTCAAAAAAAGCATATTAGGGACCACAACATGCAAAAAAACACAGACGCTGGCACAGCTTAGGCAAGAAACCAATCTACATGGAAGTATATGTCCCAATTAACATTTCTTACCCAAGTTCAATCACAGAGAAGAACTGTAACCAACAAAGAAGAAGAAACAAGCGTAGAACGTCCAGCAGAAACAATAATTTAAAAGAACCAGAGATTGTAGAAGGTACACCAAGGACGGAAGACATTGTAGAGGAGTCTCAAGATCTATTACAGACTCAAAAAAGTACAGAAGGCGATCAAAAAATTGCTCAGATTCTCGATTAGATAATCAACAAACTTTTACTCTCACAAGAAACAAGTTAAAAACATCTCATGAAAATTTGAAACTGAAAATGCATAACGAACAGTGGCTGTTTTTGTACCTAGTCGAAAATATTGTATGGATTTTTCATTATCATATTTATCATGCGTTTGAATTAAGTTAGTAAATGTCCTTTCATTCTCTCTATTTTTAAATATATTTTGAGTCTGTCTTCTTTTCTTTAAAGTTCTAATTATTAGTTCAATATCTTCCTCTTCTTCAAGTAACAGTTTTATCAACATTGTTTTCATTATCATTTTCAATATTTATAAAGTCCTTTGTATTTTTAATCTAACCTAAAAATCGATATCTATACTATGATGATATCTACCAGCAAACTGATTAATTCTAGAGAAACCACTCAACCGTTACCTATGTCGTATGGACGTTAGCCGCAACGTCCAAACGTCGACGGCTGCGGCTTACGTCTGTTCAGAGAAACCAGCGAATAAGGGATACTAAAACGCACACAATTCTATATAGTGGGAAGGAACAAGGAAGCAAACAATGTGGATTTGCATTTGTGGTGGATAATGATTTTAAGTCAAAAATCATAGACTTCCAGGCGGTCAGTGAATGGATATGCAAGTTAAGAATTTGGACCCACTTCTTCAACCTATCAATGATAAACATTCACTGCCCAACAGAAGAACAAGAACAACATACAAAGGAGGAAAGCTTCTACCAACAGCTGGGATAGTATATGCGCCCAAAAATGACATCAAGATTATAATGCGTGATATGAATGCTAAAATAGGCAAGGAGCCGCAGTTATATGGCACAACAGGAAAACACCCACTGCACAGTGAAACAAGCGAGAATGGAGAGTTTCTGATACATTTTGCCACCAGTAAAAACATGGTTATAAGTTTCACATGCTTCCCATATAGACATACACAAAATGACATGGATTTCACCAAATGGAACCACAACTAATCAAATCGACCATATGCTGATAGACAAAAGAGCAGCCAATAGTATCTCAGATGTGAGAACACGACGAGGAGCATGCTGTGGATCAGACCATCTTTTACTTCCAACCAAATTTAGATGCAGAATTAACAAAGAAAGAAACGAAAGAAAACAAAGAACAAACAAACTGGACCTGGAAAAACTGAAGATTCAGTAATGTAAAGAGAAGTTCGAAGAAGAAGTCACAAATGAGTTAAGGACGCTAGAACCATGCTAGAACTGCACTCCATAGAGGGCAAATGGAATAATATCAAAACAGCAGTATTGACAGCGGCAGCGTCCAGCCTGGGAAACAAGAAAAAGACGAAAAGAGGGGCATCGTTCGATGATGAGTGCAAACAAGCAATAGAAGAAAGAAATGAAGCACACAAAATGTATATAACAAGAAGTGGGAAAAACGAACGTCATTTAAAGTCGCAAGATATATAGAAATAAAAAAAGAGCCTATGAAAATGAACAAATAGAAAAAATGGAAGAAAATTTCAAAAACAAGCAAATTAGAGGGGCTTACGAATACCTAAAAAAAAAATAAAAAAGATGAAATGGGTACGAACTACGTAGAAGAGAATGAAGTAGAGAATGGAATAGAAGCTCCAACCATAGAAGTTCTCGAAGCTATTAAGGCCCAGAAAAACAATAAAGTCCCGGGAGATGATGAAATACCAGCAGAATTATATAAGGTAGGTAGATGGCGACCACCTAGCAAGTCAAATCCACGCGCTCATCAAAGATATATGGCAAGAAGAGAAAATACCCGACGACTGGAACAAAAGTATAGGATGCCCGATCTATAAAAAAGGAGAGAAACTCCAGTGCAAAAACTACCGTGAAATTTGCCTACTATGTACAGCATATAAAGTCACGCCAGCAGCTAAAATCACTAGCAGAAATATTATTGAAGAGTATCAGACGGGCTTCCGACGGAGAAGATCGACACTGTATCAAATATTTACAGTCAAACAGATCTTGAGTAAATCATGGGAACATGAAAATGATGTTCACAACGTGTTTGTAGACTTCAAACAGGCATACGACTCAGTCAAAAAGAATAAATTCTACAATATATTGGCTGAATTAGTAATACCACACAAGCTAATTAGACTCATTAAAGCCACAATGGATGAAACTCAGGCATGTGTACGAATACAAAACCACCGGAGACTTTCAAAATTTCGCAGGGACTAAAGCAGGTAGATGGGCTGGCCCCAGCTTTGTATAACCTAGCACTGGAGTATGCGATTAGACAAATGCAAACTGGACGAGGAAACCTACTGACCAACCGAACGGTTCAACTGAACGATTATGCCGATGATATTAATATTATGAGTAGAACATCAACGGGAGCACAGGAAACATATGCAGAGTTAAAAACGCAAACAAAAAGGATAGGTTTGGAAATTAACACAGAAAAACAAAAACAATGATACATACGAGAAGAAATATAGTCCCACAAAACATACATGAAGATGACATTGAAACGGTTGAAAAGTATACATACCTGGGAGTGGAAATATATGCCGATGGATCTGAGGATGGAGAAATACGGAAGAAAATAACGCAGGCAAACAGAGCTTATTTTGCCCTCTCCCATATATTTCGGTCTAAAAATGTCCACCAA